TGGCTATTAGCTATCATTTAAAATTGTTTCAATCATCATGAGATATACAACCTATCCTTTTGCTTTAGTTTCATTTACATTTCATTTGATGTCTAGTTACAGGGACATCTTTTGTATGTTTACAAGTCATATGTAGAGCTGTGAATAACTTGTTCATATTGTTTGACAATATCTGTTGGGTTGCTTGTCTCATTGATTTATGAAATGATCCACCTATTCTAGTTATTAATTCTTCATACATATCTTCTGACACATGTCATTTGTCTTTTAACTCTGTTGATAGCGCCTACAAGTTTGTAGAAATTTTTACTTGCTGTATAAGTCAGATTCATCAATTTCTTTCCTCTACAGTTTCTAAGTTAGGTAAGGTCTTCCCCACCTCATGATTTTTTTTCTTAAGATATTTTTACGGTTTTGCTTTCTTTGTACCTTGAAGTTTTTTTTTAATTCATTGGAAATATTTTTCTCCCTTGAATAAGATAGCAGCTAACATACTTTTTTCTAAATTTAAGTACTGGGGCCAGGTTGTTGAGCAGCGGGTTAAAGCCCCAGCCTTCAATGTTGGCTTCCCACATGGGCGCCGGTTCGAGTCTCGGCTGCTCCATTTCCAATCCAGCTCCCTGCTAATGCACCTAAGAAAGCAGTGGAGGATGGTCAAGTCCTTGGGCCCCTGCACACACGTGGGATACCCAGAAGAAGCCCCTGGCTCCTGGCTTCAGATTGGCTCAGCTCTGGCCATTGTGGCCATTAGGGAGTGAACCAGTGGATGGAAGACCTCTCTCTCTATGTCTCTGCCTTTCTGTTTTGTAAATAAATAATAATAAATCTTTTTTTTTAAAGGTGTTAAAATTTCAGCTGCCTCTGAAATTTCTTTTAAGGATAAATGCTCTTTGATCTAGAAAAGTCATCTGATAACTTGTTTGAACTAGGAACGTCAGCAGAAACCTGGCAAATAGAAAGAGATGCCAGACCGATAGTCACAAGGAAAGAGAAAGACATCTTTCGCTCTGAGAGAAGGGAGCAGAGAGAAGAGAGCCAAGAAAATAGAGTGCGCCTGGGCACCATGCAGGATGAAGCACTCCACAGAACTGCCCCAGCGGAGGGTGACCGGAAGGCACTTTTAGCACAGGAATGCCCAAGGTTCCATTCAGAGCAGCTAAGCTTCCACTTCTGAGACGTAAGCCCTTTCTGGGTCTTCTCCCCAGATCTTGTGGGCTGGGGTTTTGCAGGAATCAAGGAAGGAACTGGGTTTCCGCGTGAGTTGCTGTGCCCCATAAGAGAAACAGGACACGTGGAGTAGTGAGGCAACCCACAGGGGAAGCAGAGTTTCAAGCTGGAGATTGAGCCTTGGGAAAAGCCCTCCATGAATTTGCTGGAATCCTGAGGAGGTCTAAAGTGCACCACATTCAAGAAATGTTATCTCCAGCTCGAGGCCTGGAGACCCTGTTAACACACGGGCTCTGAGACCTATTGTTGAGTGTCTACTTCACCATGCTCTGTGCCACATGTACCCTCTGCCCAGTAAGCTTCACAAAAATGCTGCCGGCTCCTATTATCACCAGTTGACAGCTAATTGAATGAGACTCAGAGGTTCTGGAATTTGCTCAGGATCACCCAAGTGAGCGGTCTTACTCCTCTCTCAAGAAAGGACACAGAAGAGGGAGCTGGGCATGAACAGAGTTCTGTGGGAGCCTAGGAGAGAGGCAGAATGTCACTCCGCCCCGGCGTCAGTTTCTCTCTCCTGTTCTGATCCTGTATGCAAGAGCCCCCCACAGCCTGGCAAAGAAGTTATGTCAGCTCTTTTTGCATGGTAAAGCAAGAAGCCCAGACCCAAACACAACAATAGCAATAATAAAGACCATTTTACTTCCACTTTAAGAAGTAGCCAATGATTTTTTTTCTTTTTCTTTTCTCTCTGTGTGTGTGTGTGTGTGGCAAATTTGGCTTCTTAGTTATGCCTCTCTTAGACAAATTTAAAGTATCTATGTTCCGGTAGGGGGAAGCTGCTCAGAGGTACTGAGCAGGAGGAGAGAATGTGGCAAGGATTTCAAGTGTCCTGATGAAGATCATCTTCCAAATGGGTAGCCACAATCACTACAGCTCCCATTCACAGAACACTTGACCACCTGCCATGCAATGTGCTAGACACCTTCTGCACAGGCATTGAATCCTTTCCACAACCACGTGGCATAGGAACTACTATTAGTGTCCCCATTTACCTATGAGGAAAGAGGCCCAGAGAAGGGAAGTCTTAGCCAGGGTTCTGTCTCTCACCTGCTAAGGGATGGGAAAATGTACTAGTCTGTTCCAACTACTTACAGCAAAATACCACAGACTGGGTGGCTTCAACCACAGATGTTTATTTTCTCATAGTTCAAGAGGCTGCCAGTCCAAGATCAGGGCACCATCAGGCTTAGTTTCTGGTATGGTTTCTTCTTCCTGGTTTATAGGCAGCTGATTTAATCGCTGTGTTCACAAGGCCTTTTTCCTGTGTGCCTGTGGCACATGGAGAGCTGGTCACTCTTATTAAATTAGGTCCACACTCTTTTTCTTTTTTGAGATTTATTTATTTGTTAATCTGAAAAAGCTCTACCTTCCATCCACTGGTTCACTCCCCAAAGGGCCACAACAGCTGGGGCTGGGCCAGGCTGAAGCCAGGAAGCCAGGAGCTCCATCCAGGTGTCCCACAGCAGTGGCAGGAACGCAAGTACTTCAGGCATCATTCGCTGCTCCCAGGTACATCAGCAGGAAACTGGATTAGCAGGAAGCAGAATAGCTGGGACTTGAACCAGCACCTTGGTATGGGATGTGGGCAGCCAAAGCTGCAGTTTAACCCATTGCACCATTGCACACTTGCTCCTGGCTGCACTGTTTGACCTCACCTCACATTAACGGTCCTATCTCCAGACACAGTCATATTGGGGGTTAAGACTTTAACATATGATCTGAGGTGAGCACACCTGAGTTCGGGGAGAACAGGTTCCTCCATGGGGAGGGAGCTGTTGTGCCTGCAAGACTCTGTTCTCTCTTCCAACACAGACAACAGTCACGGGACACTCTGTGTCCCCCACCTGACCTGCCACCACCTTTCCTGGGAAGCACGCCCCAGCCTGGTGGGCCAGCCCACGTGGGACCTTCAGCCCATCTCACTGAGGCCCAGCAGCTCCAGCAAGTGTCCTTCCACCAACTCCCAAGTAGGGGGTGTGGTGATTGCTTGCTAATTAGCAGCAATTAGCAGAGGCACCAAAGGAAAGGGGTCGGTGGAATGAAGAGGCAATTAGCGACAAGAAAGGAGATAAGTGATGGTTAATTCTTCCTTCTCAATCACCATAGTTGTTTCTAGCCCTGAAAGCATCATTGTCACCAGGAAAGGGACCATCAGCTCCCGACAGGCCGGGTCAGTCAGTGCGTCGGCAGCCGGAGAGGAGCTCTGATCTCGCAGCCGGAAGATCCCAGTTTGGGCTGTGTTCTGCCTGCACTTCCTGCCGGTCCCTGGGTGAGTCTCTTCCCCTTCTGGCCTGTCTCCCCACACATAAAATAGAGGTCCCATCTGGGGTATTGTTTCTCAAATGTAGGTTGAGAGCCAGCTGACGATCATGAAATAAATGCCGAGGGTCAAGACCAGCATTCAAAACTGATAGCAAGGCATAGAATAGAATCAACAGCATCAGAATGCCTGCGAAAGGCAACTTCTTTGTCTTTTCGTTATATTTTTTCTTCACTAAAATGGGTACATGCATTCCCACAGAGGTGAGTGTGTGTGTGTGTGTGTGTGTGTGTGTGTACTGGGTTACAAAGTATTTCCTGCTGTGAGTTGTTCAAAAGGATTGAAAGTCACTGCACTAAATAATCCTCAAGGACCTGTTCCTGCCCTGTGGTCCAAGAATTTGTCTCCATGACATCAGATCGCTGGAACAAAGTGGTCTACCAGAGCCAAATAATAGGGTAGACAAAGCAGCCTGGGTCATTTCCATACATGCCCCGCCCCCTCGCCCCTACCCCGCGCCCAGGGAGGACAAAACCGGCAGATTCTGCCCCAACACAGAAGGCAAGAACATTAAGGCACCGCCTTCCATCCTGGCTACCGCCTCCCACCAGGGACCCTTAGCCCCTCTGGGGGAAAGGGTACATTCCACCCCACCTCCCACGCGGGACACCTGCACTGGGAGCCAGTCCCCACAGAGAAGGGCTCTATGCTGCAGAAGCAAAGGGGCCAGGGTAGGAGGGAGGGATCAGCCCACACCCTCACTACCCACTGGGAATGCGTTTCAAGTGGTGCCGTTTTCTGGGAAGGCTAGCCGGCAGGCACCACGTTAGGAAATAGTAAACTATTCCCTTGGTCCCAGCAATTCTGCTTCCTTTAAGTTCTCCTGGGGGAAATCATGGGACAAATTTCTGGAGACACAGAAGCAAAACCAAACAAAACTTAGAGGCAAGCTGCCAGCAGAGGGGACAGAGTGCTCATCTTCCCGGTCCCCCAGAGGTGGGGGTGGGGTGGGGTGGGGGTGTCCCGATTTGTTATTTCTTGGGGGAAAAACAGGTTATACGTTAGTCCAACAGAACCCCATTTTTGTTTTTAAAAATCTATGCTTTTTTTTTTTTTTTTGGTCCGTCTAGTTCTGCAGGGGAGAGGGGGGCATAGGGAGAAAAAGGCGGGGGTGGGGTGGAGAGGGGTAGGTGGGATGGGGGATGGTCAGCGGCTGGAAGGACTTACACCAAAATGTGTCCCAAGAAGGTATTTTTGGGAGGAACTATTTTTAAGACATTTCACTGCTATTTTACGGCCTGCTGTATTGTTTGCTTCCTTTTTCACAAGTGCAGGTATTACATTTATGATCGAAGTAAAACTCCTTTCGGAAAATATTAACATGCTCGCGAGCGTCCCGGACGGCTGTGGGTAGCTGCAGAGACCTCCCCCACCCCGCCTGGTCCCCGGGAGCGCGCAGGGGTTGGCCCGCGCCCCGGCCCCCACGCCCCACGCCCGCCGCCGCTCCCTGCCCGCCGCTCTCTCCCTGCGCACTGCCCTCGCGCCCCGCAGGTGCCGGCGCCCGCTCCCCTGCGCCCTTCCCTTCCCAGACGCGGCGTCCCCTCGCCAGCCCTGCCGCATCCCGGGAGCCCTCGCTGCGGTATGGAGCCCAACGCGTCGGGCAACGCGTGCGCCCCGGGGCTGGTGCCGGAGCCCGGCTGGGCGCTGCACCCCGGGCCGCACGCCGCCCACTTCTCGGCGCCCGCTGCCGCGCTGCTGGCGGCGCTCATGGCTCTGCTGGCGCTGGCCACGGTGCTGGGCAACGCGCTAGTCGTGGTGGCCTTCGCCGTGGACCGCAGCCTGCGCTCCCGCGGCAACTTCTTCTTCCTCAACTTGGCGGTCGCCGACCTGCTGGTGGGTGAGTGCGGCCTGGGGCGGGGGGCGCCAGGGCAGCGCTGGGGCGGGGAGCCCAGCGCTCGCTCGGAGGCCTCGGTCGGGAGCTGGGGCGCGACGGGACGCGCGGCCACCGCCCCCTTCTGTCCACAGGCGGTTTCTGCATCCCACTATACATCCCCTACGTCCTGACCGGGACATGGAAGTTCGGGAAGGGGCTGTGTAAAGTGTGGCTGGTGACGGATTACCTGATGTGCACCGCCTCGGTCTTCAACATCGTCCTCATCAGCTACGACAGGTTCCTCTCCGTCACCAGGGCGGTAAGAAGGGCTGAGGCTCCACTCGGACCAGCGGGTGGTCGGGGTCGACGGAGCCAGCAGTGGTTTCAGGACCCTATGGGGAAGGAAAAAGGGAGAGGCCAACACTAGGTCACAAGCAAGATCTACGTCACAAATATTAAATACACGTGAAACACTGAAAAGTCACATTGTGCTTGTAATGTGCTTTTTTTCGGGAGATACGCATATGCGTGGTTGTACATGGGCCTTGTGGCCATGAGCGTGTCCCCTGGTCTCCGCCAGTCCGTGTGCACCTGCTGACCATGGGCTCCGCGGTCAAGAATCCACGGCTGCCTCCCCCAGCACAGTTGCTCCTCTGGAGGGGCTGCCTCTGCGTCAGGGCAGACGGGGTGGGGGATGGGGTGGGGGAGGGCTGTGTGAGCAGTCACTCAGCTCTGACCTGGGTTCCACCTTGAGTGACCTTGGGCACATGCTGGCACCTCGAGTCAGTCCCCCCATGGGGAAAGTGAGAGGTTAAAAGCCCTTTTGAGTCCAGTCTCTCGTGATGGGAAATTCATTTGGTCTTTGCCTCCCTGTAAGATAAGTAGAAACTAAAGTTTCTTTATGCCCATGCTACAGATGGGGATGATAAGGCTCAAAGAAATTAATCTATAGACAGATGTGAGCCTTAAATAAAAGAGGAGAACAGAGACCTCTCCTCTGGGCTTAAAAAAAAAAGCCTTCTATCTCTGTGTCAGTAATCCATGCTCACTCTAGAGAAAGCAGAAAGTAGCAACAAGCTTTGAATTTCTTAACAGCCACAAGACCTTGATAGCCCGAGAAACACCATTTGCAGAGCCACTGCCAAGTACATTCTGTGGCACCCACACATTTGCTTCATAGCTGCAGTTCTCAACTCATTTGGAATTTAATTGGCTTGAATTGTGACCGAGGTGTCGGCATTTCTAGAAGAATGCCTTTCAGGTGATTGTAAGGTGGAGCCGAGAACGAGAATCTCTGACTTTGATCATTGCTGAAGCGTGGCTCTTCCTTGTCTCCCTTCCTGTACTGCTTCTTACATTTCCACCGTGAGAAATCACCTCCTAAATGAATGTTGTGTAAGTGGCAGTTTCCAACTTTCCAGGAGCTCGGAGAACCCACTGCTTGGGTCCCCTCTCCTGAGACCCCAGTTTGGTGGATGGGTTTTCTTTGCTCTGAATTAGAGGCTTTGTGTGCATTGCAGTCATGGACAACAAAATCATCTAATGACCCTAAATGTTCTGCATTGAGCATGTGGAGGGCCAGAAGTTCTGCTTCAATGGAAAAAAAAATACACCCGTCCCCCCAGTGTTGCTCAAATTAATAAGTAGTATTCAGCCTCAAGCCGGCGCCGTGGCTCTCTAGGCTAATCCTCCGCCTGAGGCGCCAGCACCCCGGTTCTAGTCCCGGTTGGGGTACCGGATTCTGTCCCGGTTGCTCCTCTTTCAGTCCAGCTCTCTGCTGTGGCCTGGGAGTGCAGTGGAGGATGGCCCAAGTGCTTGGGCCCTGCACCTGCATGGGAGACCAGGAGGAAGCACCTGGCTCCTGGCTTTGGATCAGCACAGCGTGCCAGCGTAGCAACCATTTGGGGGGTGAACCAATGTAAGGAAGACCTTTCTGTCTGTCTGTCTCTCATTGTCTAACTCTGCCTGTCAAAAAATTAATAATCACAATATTGAGCCTCATTGTTGGCACCTTGCTGTACCAGCCTGGGCGGGGAAAGCTGCCTCAGCCTCCGTTTTTACTGGCCCCTGCTCTTTCCCTCTAGGTGACTTACAGGGCCCAGAAAGACATGACCAGGAGTGCCATCTCCAAGATGGCGCTGGTGTGGGTGGCAGCATTCCTCCTGTACGGGCCTGCCATCATCGGCTGGGAGTACATGGCCAAAAGCAGCATCCTGCCCCAGGGGGAGTGCTACGCTGAGTTCTTCTACAACTGGTACTTCCTCATGACGACTTCCGTCATTGAGTTCTTCACCCCCTTCATCAGCATCACTTACTTCAACTTGAGCATCTATACCAACATTCGGAAGCGCACTTCCCTGAGGAAGGCCAACACTGGCCCCAGCCATGACAGCTTGGAGATGGACTTCCAGAGGAGGCAAAACAAACACTTCATATTTTTCAAGTCAGCTGAGAGGACAAGCCAGAAGAGAAAAGACCAGGACATCCCCCTTACACACAAGGGGTCTTCCTTGGGTGTTTGCAGGACTCAAGATTTACCCCCTCTCCAGGTGGACCATGGAATGAGAGCAACCCAGTGGCGGCAGAATCACTACAGGGCAGACAAGGTCTGCAATGCCCCAGGGCAGCTGGACCTCCGCAGCACTAGGGCCAGCCGCCTGCAGCTCTCCCGGGACAAGCGAGTGGCTAAGTCGCTGGCCATCATCGTGTGTGTGTTCGGCCTGTGCTGGGCTCCCTACACTTTGCTGATGATCATCCGAGCTGCCTGCCATGGGACATGCATCCAGCACTCTCTCTATGAAACATCCTTCTGGCTCCTCTGGTTGAACTCAGCTATCAACCCTGTCCTGTATCCACTGTGCCATGTGAGTTTCAGAAAAGCATTCATCAAACTGCTGTGCCCTGGGAAGGCCAAGATCCACCCTCATATGTACGTGTGACAGATATGCTTCCTGGGCCAGATCATCTAAACTTCTTGTTCTCCGAAAGTCAGTAAAGGCTTCCCTAAATCACTCCCACTCACTTCATCTTGTCTTTGCCCCAAGGAGACATGGCGCCCATAGCAAAAGCAAGTGAAGGCATGGGCATCTGGCACTGTGGTTAGGAAAAACTTGGGACACCCACATCTTGTATTACAGTGCCTGGGACTGAGTCCTGCCTCTGCATCTGATCCAGCCTCCTGTTAGTGTGCATGCTAGGAGGCAGCAGATGATGGTTTAAGTACTTAAGTCCCTGTCCACCCATATGGGAGAGTTCGGTTGAGATCCAGGCTCCTGGCTTTGGCCTGGCCCAGCCCCAACTGTCGAGGGCATTTGCAGAATGAACCAGTGAATAGATCTCTGTTTGTCTGCCTTTCAAATAAATAAAAAGTATTTTTTAATAAAAAGAATAAATGAAACAAGTTCTTGGAAGTACTGCATGTTTAAAAAGTCTGGAATTGATGTGTAGGCTTAGTTATTCTAAGAATGGTGGCTGATAATGGCACAGCGCACAGTGAGTTAAAGACCTAGCCTGCAGTGCTGGCATCCGATATGGGCGCCCGTTAGAGTCCCTCCCAGCTGCTTCACTTCCTATCCAGCTCCCTGCTAATGTGCCTGGGAAAGCAGTGGAGGAAGGCCCAAGTGCAAGGCTCCTGCACCCACATGGGAGACTCAGAAGCTCCTGCCTTCTGGGTTCGGTTGCGGCCATTTGGGGAGTGAACCAGCAGATGGGAAACCTCTCATGGCCAGCACCGCGGCTCAATAGGCTAATCCTCTGCCTGTGGCGCCGGCACACCAGGTTCTAGTCCCAGTCAGAGCGCTGGATTCTGTCCCGGTTGCCCCTCTTCCAGGCCAGCTCTCTGCTGTGGCCCGGGAAGGCAGTGGAGGATGGCCCAACTTGGGCCCTGCACCCACATGGGAGACCAGGAGAAGCACCTGGCTCCTGCCTTCAGATCAGTGTGGCGCGCCGGCCGCGGCGGCCATTGGAGGGTGAACCAACGGCAAAAGGAAGACCTTTCTCTCTGTCTCTCTCTCTCACTGTCCACTCTGCCTGTCAAATAAATAAATAAAATAAAAAGAAAAAAGAAAACCTCTCTGTGTGTACCTCTCTGTAACTCCATCTTTCAAAATAAATAAATAAATAATTAAAAAAAAATGGTGGCTGGAAGCACAGGGGTTATCTGGGCTTGTTTGAAATCTCGGGCCCAAGCAGGACCTGCTGAACATCAGCATCTGCACCTAACAAAGATCCCCAGGTGATCTGTATGTTTAATGAAGTTTGAGAAGCATGGATCCGGGAGATGTGTAGGAGATACAAATGGTTGAGAAAAACAGTTGTATAGTACTTCATCTCCTGTGCAGATACCTTATTTAAGGCTTAAAATCACTGCTACTCAGGTTTGTATTAAATTTGTGAAATCTGCACACACTACCCTATTTGTCAGTTTTGCTCCTTGATAAGGCTCACCAGTTGAAACTGACTGAACTCTTTTTTGGTAGTATGTGGTAGTACCCTAACACTTTTGTGGATATGAACATAATGAAGGACAGTAAGGCTTAAAAAAAGAAATGATACAATCTGGTTTTACAAAATATATCAGATTTTATGTTTACAAAAACATAGCAAATACACACCTTTTTTTTTTTTATTTGAAAGAGAGGAGAGGCAGAGAGAGAGAGAGCGAGCAAGAGAGAGAGAGGTCTTCCATCCGATGGTTCACTCTCCAATGGGTCGCAACAGCTGGAGCTGCGCGAATCCGAAGCCAGGAGCCAGGAGCTTCTTCCAGGTCTCCCATGCGGGTGCAGGAGCCTAAGGATTTGGGCCATCTTCTACTGCTTTCCCAGGCCATAGCAGAGAGCTGGATTGGAAATGGTGCAACCGGGTCTTGAACCAGCACCCATATGGGATGCTGGCACTTCAGGCCAGGGTGTTAACCCACTGCACCACAGTGCCGGCCCCATAGCAAATGTGCACCTTTTAAATGCAAGAAATTCTGCCTAATGGTCATGGAGACTCCAAAGGTGTCCTTGTATTTGCATTTAGCTCTCTCTGCTGAGTGCAAATAGACTTTATTAAGTCGCAGCCTAAAATTTTACTTAGCCGTAGGGATGTGGATAGGCAGGTCACCAGTAGATGAGAAGCCGAGGACTGCCAGCAGTACCTGCTGACGCGAGCACAAGCTCCATCCCCTGTTGTGTTCACCAGCTGGAAGTATCCAACCTGACTGGGTCTGGCACACCCGTTCCCCATCGTACACTTGAGCCTCAGTTCCCACCATGCAGGAGATGCCATGTCACTTTCTAGTGATAACCACGTGTATGCTTCAGCCCTGTGTGGAGATACCATGACATGTCAGAGATCCCAAAAAACACACACAAAAGCAGGCAGTACTCGAACCCCACCCAAACTCCTCCTTCTTTGAATATTCAAATTTTGGACCTGCCCTGGGCACCACCCCCAACCTTTGACAACTCCAACTTTGGTGGGGGCATCAGCCCTTCCTTCCTCATGAGGAGGTTGCCACACACTCACGTATGAGTGTGTAGTATTCCTTTCAACAAATTTTGCTTTCCTGTACACCTTGGGTTCTTCTCTTGCAGAGACAAGGACTTGGATCAAGCCCAGCCAGGACTGAGTACCCCTCAACAGCAGCGAGGATTTCTTACCAAAGCTAAACACTACCATGAGTGGTAAAATACGCAGTCCAGCTCCAGATTTTGGAAGCACAGCAGTTTTATTGATATACTGCGAGGTGACCAAGAGACAGGAACAGCAATACGAAATCTATCCTAGCCCACTGAATTAACACAAGGCAGGAAACTTTTGTCTTTCATCAAATCTACACTGTAGGTAACTCAAGTGTACAGCAAATGTGTAGGTCCTGGCAGCTGAATCGGCATCTGCTGTGCATCCTTAAGGCATCCCTACAGGACCAACTGTAGCAAACAGAAAGGCCTCCTTCCCCAGATTTTCCACCCAACACCTCTCATTTACATTACGTTGTTTGGGCTCCCCGTCATCAGACAGTTCTATTCAGAAGTGCTTTCAACTCCATTCTACTTGAACTTTATTACTTTGGGTTCTCAGAATGAGAGTGAAAATGTAATGGAAGACCCCACTGCAATCTAAACTTTGTGTTTAAATCCCCTCTCAGTGCCTATGATGGTGTATTCATTCCTGCTGATCTGTCATATTTCTCAGTGGCTCTGAGTTGCTCATAAGTTTTACAATTGCTCATCATCCTCCTTGAAAGTACTCAGTGATTGAGGCCGGTGCTGTGGCGTAGCAGGTAAAGCTGCTGCCTGCAGTGCCAGCATCCCATATGTGTGCCAGTTCGAGTCTGGGCTGCTCCACTTCCAGTCCAGCTCTCTGCTATGGGCTGGGAAAGCAGTACAAGATGGCTCAAGTCCTTGGGACCCTGCACCGGCACGGGAGACCCAGAAGCTCCTGGCTCCTGGATTCGGATCAGCACAGCTCCTGCTGTTGTGGCCATCTGGGGAGTGAACCATCAGATGGAAGACCTCTCTCTCCCTGCCTCTCTCTGTTAACTCTTGCCTTTCAAATAAATAATCTTTTTTAAAAAAAGTACTCAGTGATGCTAATCAAGTCAAAACACACACACACACACTTTCAGCTGCATGCTATCAGCTTCCTACCTGGCCAGGGCCCTTAATGGTCAGGGCAATGCTGTAGTTCATTAACCTGACCACTGCCAATCTCAGGTCAGGAGCATGAATTTCTAGATGAACAATCAACGATTCTGGTTCCTGAGTTGGAGACAGGGAGGGCAGCAAAGTCCTAACACAGGAGGTATTTCTTGCAACTCATAACACCTTCCCAGATGTGTCCCCTGGTGACTATGCCCAAGTCTTGGGAATTCAGTGCCACTCAGCACCACCAAGTCTGCTCTGCTTCAGTGCTGCTATCCATCTGTGGAAGGATTTTTCCCTCCAGCTTTTAAGTACAGATAGTTTTTTATAATATAAAATAAAAAGTACTAAAACAAAACAAAACAAAAAAACTGGGGTAGCAGATATACAAAATACACAACAGAAATCACCAAATTGTTACAAAAGCTTTCACGTGTTTGGTCAGTTACTATTTACCTCATTCCAGGGATAGGTGTTACAGTGCAATGCCTTAAGCCCTCACAACACTGGCTGTCAGGGTGCCTGTTTGAGTCCTGGCTTCTCTGGTTCTGATCCAGCTTCCTGCTAATGCGCCTGGAAAAGCAGCACAAGATGGCCCAGGTACCTGTCTCCTGCCACCCATGAAGGAGATCTGGATGGAGTTCCTGGCTCCTGGCTTTACCTCAGCCCAGACCTGGCTGTTGTGGCCATTTAGGGAATCGACCAGACAGTGGAAGATCTCTGTCTATCCCTGTTACTCTTTCAAAGAAATAAATCTGCACATGATATTTTTAAAAAATATTCACCTCATTCCAGACAATTAAGAGTTTAACTTATTGGGTTGTTGGTTCCTGGCTCACTGAGTAGCCTGACTGGCTGGAAGAATGGGACTGCAGGTTAAGTGGAAGCTCAGCTCAGTGTCATTAGGTACGAGGAGGAGGCAAGGAAGCTACCGTACCCAAGAAACAAACTGCCAAAACAGGTGTAACTGACAATGGAAGTAGAGGCCAAGGCCAGGTTGAGTCCTGGGGACCTGCCAGTTCCCAGCCTGTCGGTTATTTGTTCTGAGTACAGGAATTCACAGAATCCTAAGACTCCACGATGCCCCAGGCCCCCCGTCATTCTTCAGTGCTCTCCTGGGTATGCCCTTATCCCCGTTTGTAACCCCAGATGCCTTCCCGCCAGACTAAAATTCTTAAAGCTAAGGACCGTTATCTTGCTTACCTGCATATGCTTAATTATATTTGACATATAGGAGGCACTCAGTTTGTTGTTCAATTTAAAAAAAATCCTAAGCAGTAGCTCTAAAAAATATTAATCTGATCTCTACTTCAATCCCAAAAATGAGCTACTTTACATCCTACACAGAAATATTTTAGCCCTGACTGGCCCTCTCCTACTGAGCTCAGACTCAAGTATTTTCAAATCATGTCTATTATTTTTCCAGCTAAACTTCACAGAACATGGAAATAAAATGGCATGTGAACCTCTTAATTTATAATCTTATTTATGCAGGGTAAATTACTGCCTGCCAAGGACAGGAAACATTTGCAGGACTAGGAAGTTAACACAGACTTAGTATATGTGCCAGATTTTGATGGCAGTCATTTTGGAAACATGTTCTTTTTAACCTAGCAGTGCTAAAACAACGTGAGACAGATGGTGAGGGGTTAAGTAATGTGGTCATTTGAAAATCTCTGTAAATTCTTTGCTACTTCTCCCCTCAAATTCCCC